GCCTCCGCCTCTTCCGCGCCTCCTCCTCGTCTCTTTGAGGGGTGTGCGGTACCACAGCTTCCCACCTTCACTGCCTCGCTTGCCACTGCCGCGTCTTCTGCCTCTGAGGAGACGGCGGCCGTTTCTGTCTCTGGCGGACAGAAACGTGGCAAGTCCGGCAAGAAGGGAGGGAAGGGCGGCGGGGGTTCTGGGGGTGTTGCGGGTGGCGGCGGTGGCGGTAGTACTAGTGGCGGGGGTGGCGGCGGGGGTGACTCGGGACCTGACGGCTCTCCTCTAGACGATGGTGAGGGGTTTTCGCAGCAGCAGCAGCAGACTCCTCCGCAGCTGCCACCGCCTGGACAGCAGCAGCGGCAGGGACAGCAGCAGCAGCGCCAGGGCCAACAGCAGCGTCCGCCTCAGCAGCAGCCCCAGCAGTGGGGCACTCTGCAGCAGTGGGGCACTCAGCAGCAGTGGGGCCCTTCGCAGCAGTGGGCCCCCCCGCAGCAGTGGAGACCTACGGGCCCCCCGAGCACTGGGCGCAGTGGTGCCCCTTCTAGTCGGGGACCCCGCTCGGCCGGCCGCGACGTTGGTCCCTGTGAGTACTGGATCCTGACGGGTCCGCGCAGGGGCACGTACTGTGGCCGCCCTGACCACTCTGCTGCACGCTGCTTCAGCCGTCTTGACGACCTGTACGTCCTGCACCACGGTACCTCCGCTCCCCCGCCACCGCGCTGGGGACCACTCCTTGCTCGTGGTGTTGCTGTGTTTGATATGTCTATGGATGATGCTCGGTCTTATGCCATGTATGCTGATGTTGACTATAGTGCTGTCGGATCTGTTTACTTGCCTGTACCTAGCGTAGGATCTTTGCCTGTTGCTAGAGTAGGTGCTGGTGTAGGATCCTGTCTAGCTACTAGTACAGGTGCTCCCTCAGCGGACGCGTCGCTCTCCTTCACACTGGACTTCGGAGCGACGCAGTGCTTCTTCCGCGACAGCACGACTCTTACTCCACTCTCGGCGCCGGTTTCTGTAGCACTGGCCGATCCCTCTTCGGGACCGGTCATTGCGACTCACGCCACTACCCTCCCGTGCCCAGCTGCCCCTTCCGGTTCTCTGACCGGCCTCCACGTTCCTACTTTCTCTAGGAACCTGGTTGGTGTGGCTCCTCTGGCGAGACAGCACGTCGGGGTCTGGTTTGAGCCTTCGGGTGACACTGCAGTCTGTGTGGACGGTGACACGTACGCCCCTCTGGCCACTTTTCGTCAGGAGCCGGGCTCTGGTCTGTACACCCTCCACACTGACACCCGTCCGGTTCCCCCGTCCCACCAGGTAGCCAGGTCCAGTCAGGTAGCTGTGCCAGGTCTAGTGGCTGCGTCGTGCTCGTGTCGGTCGCTGTCCCACCCTGCCCTCCTCTGGCACCACCGCCTTGGTCACCCGTCCCTCTCTCGTCTCCGCGCTATGTCCAGTCAGCGTCTTGTCTTAGGCCTCCCCCGCGACCTCCCGCCGCTCCCGCCGTCCCCCGCTCCTCCGTGCGGTCCTTGTGTCAAGGGTCGGCTGCGCGCCACTCCTCACTCCTCCTCCCTTCGTCCAGCCTCCGAGCCCTTTGAGACACTCCACTTAGACGTCTGGGGCCCCGCTCCCCGGCTTGGACCTGAGCGAGAGAGCTTCTTCCTAGTGGTCGTTGACGACTACTCTCGGTACACCACCGTGTTCCCTTTGGCGAAGAAGTCCGACGTGACTTCTACGCTGATCCGGTGGCTGCTCGCCACCGAGAGTACTCGTCGTCGTCGTGTCAGTTGTCTCCACTCCGACCGTGGGGGTTAGTTTCGCTCCGGCATTCTCGCCAGATTCTGTGCTGAGCAGGGCATCACCCAGTCCTGGACTCTTCCAGACTCTCCACAGCAGAATGGGGTTGCTGAGCGCTGGCTAGGCCTGGTCATGGAGATTGCCCGCACCTCTATGATCCACGCCCGCGCGCCCCATTTTCTGTGGCCCTACGCGGCTCGGTATGCCGCTCACCAGCTGAACCTCTGGCCTCGCGTCTCTCGGCCAGGGGCTTCACCGACCAGTCTTTGGACAGGGTCCCCTGGTGTTGCGTCGAGGTTTAGTGTCTGGGGCTGCTTGGCGCTTGTCCGCGACACCTCTGCGGACAAGCTCTCACCTCGCGGCGTCCCCTGTGTCTTCCTTGGTTTCCCTGAGGCCTCCTCTGACTTCACCTTTTACCACCCTCCCTCCCACCGGTTCTTTGACTCTCGTGACGTCAGTTTCAACGAGTCCGTCCCCTACTACGTCCAGTACCCCTGTCGAGGTCTCCCGGTTCCCCCCCCTCCCCTCTTCCTCGCCCCAGCTCCTCCTCCTCCTGCTCCCTCTCCTCCGGTACCCCCCCCGGTTCCCGCTCCGTCAGGTGTGTCGCAGGCTACCCCCCCTCCCTCGGTCCCCCCCCAGGTCTCTCCTCCTTCCCCACAGTCGTCCTCACAGCCTCCGCAGCAGCCGTCGGCGCTTCCTCTCCCGGCCACTGCGGACTCTGAGGGTGTTGGTGCTCGAGGTGAGGGCTCTGGCGGTGCCGGTTCTGGGGGTGTTGGAGTTGGAGCTGAGCGTGCACTTGCCGCAGCTGCACGTCCCGAGCGTGTTGGAGTCCGTGGTGGTGCTGGAGCTGGTGGTGTTTCTGGAGCTGGAGAGTCTGGGGCTGGTGCTGGTGCCACTGGCGGCGCCACGACTGGGGGTGCGGGTACACCTCCTACAGGTACTGGTCGTGCTGCCGCAGGGGGTCCTCGCTCTGGGGGTGCTCAGCCGGGTCCTGTCGAGGGTGGAGCCGGTTCTTCTTCGTCGTCTCCTGACACCACTCCTCCTCCTCACCCCTACCCGACTCGTTACCAGGCCCTTCGTCTTCTAGAGCGTGAGGAGCAGCAGCGTTTGGAACGTGAGAGGTCGGAGGTTCAGCAGCGGGTGGAGCATGAGCGGTTGGAGTTTCAGCAGCAGCAGCAGCAGCAGCAGCAGCAGCAGCAGCAGCAGCAGCAGCCGCAGCCACAGCCACAGCAGCAGCAGCAGCAGCAGCAGCAGCAGCAGCAGCAGCAGCAGCAGCAGCAGCAGCAGCAGCAGCAGCAGCCGCCGCAGCTGCCGGAGCAGCCTCCGGCCCCTGTTTCTGGCCTTCGGGCCCTTGGTCTCCCCTCCTCTCCTCCTGTGTTCGGTCCCACGTTTCCTCCTCCGGACTCCACTCCGGCTGTCTTCCCTCGTTCTCAGTCTCCTCCGTCCCCCCCTCCTCTCGCCCACACTTGGGCCTCTCGCCCTCCTCGTGCTCGTCCCTCGTCCCCTGTCACTGACCTCCGTACCGTGTTGTTTCGTCCTCGTCCTCCTCGTTCTCCTCCGTCTGTCCTTCCTCGTCCTCCTGAGTCTTCCCTCACTGCCTCCCTGTCCACTCCGGTCACTGACTACTACCGCACGTACCGCCCCACTCTCTCTCGTGTTCTCGCCTCTCTTGTTACAGACCCTCGTGCCTCTCCTTCCTCCGTCGTGGTCCTCACTGCCGCTGTCACTGAATTTACTGCTACGCGTCGCCTTGACTACGCCACTCGAGTTGTGGCAGCTCCTCCTGTCCGTCCTCTGTCCGCCGGGGGTGTGTGTGCCCTTGGCTGTGACGTCCTAGAGGACAGACAGTTTGAGCTAGAGTTCCTGGCAGCTGCTTCGCCTCATCTCTGTGCCATGCTGCTCACTCCTGAGGGAGACTTTGACGCTCCTGACATACCTACTCCTCGCACTTACGCTGAGGCAGTGTCAGGGCCTTGGGCCTCTCAGTGGAGAGCTGCCATGGACGCAGAGATGGCATCCTACAGGTCCACAGGCACTTACGTTGACGAGGTTCCCCCCCCAGGGGCGAACATTGTTGAATCGGCATGTGGATCTTCAAGGTGAAGCGGCCGCCGGGATCTCCCCCAGTCTTCAAGGCACGCTACGTGGCTAGAGGGTTCAGTCAGCGCGAGGGGGTTGACTTCTTTCAGACCTTCGCGCCCACCCCGAAGATCACCACTCTTCGGGTGTTACTGCACGTAGCAGCGCAGAGAGACTACGAGCTACACTCTCTTGACTTCTCCACTGCCTTCCTCCAGGGCTGCTTACACGAGGAGATCTGGCTGCGTCGTCCTCCGGGCTTCACTGGCACTTTCCCGCCTGGGACCCAGTGGAGCCTCAGACGACCGGTCTACGGTCTCCGCCAGGCACCCCGTGAGTGGCACGACACTCTCCGCTCTACTCTCTCCGACCTCGGGTTTGAGCCGTCTTCCGCCGACCCGTCGCTGTTTGTTCGTCGTGGCCGTACACCTTTCTTCGTCCTAGTCTACGTTGACGACTTGGTTTTTGCCACGGCCGACATAGCTGCACTGGCGGAGGTGAAGTCCGAACTGCAGAAGAGACACACCTGCACTGACCTTGGGGAACTGCGCCGCTACCTTGGCCTGCAGATTTCCAGGGACAGAGCCGCTCGCACCATCACTCTCACTCAGTCACACATGGTGCAGCAGGTTCTTCAGCGGTTCGGGCTTCAGGACTCTTCTCCTGCCCCCACTCCTCTTGCTGTAGACCACAGACTCACTGGACCTTTTCCTGACGAGCCGTTCGAGCCCAGTGGTCCCTACGCAGAGCTGGTGGGCTGCCTCATGTACCTGATGACGTGCACTCGCCCGGACCTCGCCTTCCCCCTTAGCATCCTGTCTCGCTTTGTTGCGACTGGGAGACACCGTCCTGTTCACTGGGCGGCGGCTAAGAGGGTGGCGAAGTACCTTGGCGCGACATCAGGCATGGGGCTTGTACTTGGAGGGACACAGCCAGTTGTACTCACCGGTCACTGTGACTCTTCCTACGCTGACGACGTTGAGACTCAGAGGTCTATGCAGGGTTACTGTTTCAGCCTGGGTTCTAGAGCTGTTTCGTGGAGGTCTACTCGGTCCTCCTCTGTTGCGACTTCTACCGCAGAGGCCGAGATCTACGCTGGGGCCCTTGCTGCTCAGGAGCTACGCTGGTTGACCTTTTTAGTAGTAGTAGTAGTAGTAGTAGTAGTAGTAGTAGTAGTAGTAGTAGTAGTAGTAGTAGTAGTAGTAGTAGTAGTAGTAGTAGTAGTAGTAGTAGTAGTAGTAGTAGTAGTAGTAGTAGTAGTAGTAGTAGTAGTAGTAGTAGTAGTAGTAGTAGTAGTAGTAGTAGTAGTAGTAGTAGTAGTAGTAGTAGTAGTAGTAGTAGTAGTAGTAGTAGTAGTAGTAGTAGTAGTAGTAGTAGTAGTAGTAGTAGTAGTAGTAGTAGTAGTAGTAGTAGTAGTAGTAGTAGTAGTAGTAGTAGTAGTAGTAGTAGTAGTAGTAGTAGTAGTAGTAGTAGTAGTAGTAGTAGTAGTAGTAGTAGTAGTAGTAGTAGTAGTAGTAGTAGTAGTAGTAGTAGTAGTAGTAGTAGTAGTAGTAGTAGTAGTAGTAGTAGTAGTAGTAGTAGTAGTAGTAGTAGTAGTAGTAGTAGTAGTAGTAGTAGTAGTAGTAGTAGTAGTAGTAGTAGTAGTAGTAGTAGTAGTAGTAGTAGTAGTAGTAGTAGTAGTAGTAGTAGTAGTAGTAGTAGTAGTAGTAGTAGTAGTAGTAGTAGTAGTAGTAGTAGTAGTAGTAGTAGTAGTAGTAGTAGTAGTAGTAGTAGTAGTAGTAGTAGTAGTAGTAGTAGTAGTAGGGGTAGTAGTAGTAGTAGTAGTAGTAGTAGTAGTAGTATAGTAGTAGTAGTAGTAGTAGTAGTAGTAGTAGTAGTAGTAGTAGTAGTAGTAGTAGTAGTAGTAGTAGTAGTAGTATGTAGTAGTAGTAGTAGTAGTAGTAGTAGTAGTAGTAGTAGTAGTAGTAGTAGTAGTAGTAGTAGTAGTAGTAGTAGTAGTAGTAGTAGTAGTAGTAGTAGTAGTAGTAGTAGTAGTAGTAGTAGTAGTAGTAGTAGTAGTAGTAGTAGTAGTAGTAGTAGTAGTAGTAGTAGTAGTAGTAGTAGTAGTAGTAGTAGTAGTAGTAGTAGTAGTAGTAGTAGTAGTAGTAGTAGTAGTAGTAGTAGTAGTAGTAGTAGTAGTAGTAGTAGTAGTAGTAGCAGTAGTAGTAGTAGTAGTAGTAGTAGTAGCATGAATGTAGGCAAAGCTGTATGAGAAGTAGAGTAGGCTTGCTTCAATATGACTACTACTAGGGCTACAACAAGCACAATCAGACTTCTACTTGAGTGTACTCTGAAGTTTCAGACTATTTTTTTAACACACTCTGACCTTTCAGACTTTTTTTTTAAACAACTCTGAGGATTTCAGACTAATACTGAGAGAGAGTCTGATGAATCAGACAGGCCAAAAACGAATCTGAGGGCCTGGCTGGAAGGCACAGTGATCCAACCTTAGCGGTTTCGGTGGTCTTATAAGGCACATTGAATCAATCTAAGCAGGTGTTGAGCCGTTCAAATATCACCGGCTGCTGTGCCTGCCATACATGTCAGTAGTGGAAATGGTTTTCAGATATTATTGGCTGCCGCAGATGTAGAGAAACGTTACAAGTGTGTTGTGGGCTGACTCAAATATTATTGCCATGCAGCATCTGTCGCATCCGTTCATAGCTGGACTGACAGTGGGATGTGAAGCAGCCCAAGCTAGTTTTGAGCTGTGTAAGCAATTAATGACTGCTACAACATTGGCTGCCGCATCATTGGCTGCTGCATCATAGGCTGCTGCATCATAGGCTGCTGCATCATAGGCTGCTGCATCATAGGCTGCTGCATCATCGGCTGCTGCATCATTGCCTGCTGCATCATTGCCTGCTGCATCATTGGCTGCTGCATCATTGGCTGCTGCATCATTGACTGCTGCACCTGTTGTGTCTCTTTGCGGTTTGACCCACAGTCAGCTGTGACACGACCCACATGAGTGATCTTTAAAAGTGCATTTGGAGGGACCGTGAACGCAGAAGGGACTTTTACCGCTGGGGTGATCTCTCAAAGTGCATTGCGTGTGACTGCCATCGCCCATGCTAGGAGTGACTGCTACTGCTGTAGCGAGCAGTGGAAGTGCATTTGCGAGAGGTGGGCCGGGAGTAATTGCTATCGTCTAATAGAACGGTGGAAGTGCATGTGGGAGAGGTGGGCGGCGAGCAGGTGAGTGTGTTGGAGTGAGTGCTACAGCTGTAACAAGCAGTGGAAGTGGGCAAATGATTGCTAGTGCCCGAGGGAGCGGTGGAAGCTTATTTGGGAGAGGTGGGCGGCGAGCAGGTGGGCATCCACTGGCTTCTGCAGCACACCGTCAAACCCCCCCTCTGCACACCTCTGCACCACTCCGCGATCCACATCTGCTGTCAGAGCCACTATGGGCACCCGCAGGGAGACTGGTTGAGCACTCAAAGACGCAGCAGCAGCAGCAACAGCAGCAGCGGCACTTAACGAAGCAGCAGAAGCAATGTTGGACGCTTCTAGGGGAGGGACTAGCAGAGGAGACAAACCAGCCGTGGAAGCCCCCTCAATTCGCCCTTCTCCTCCCACCTCCCGTGGCAAAAAAATCTCTCCCCTGCCCCCTCTCCCCCCCATGCGTCCCCCCCAGTCCCCTCCCCAACTCACACCCCGCCTGTGCAACTTTCTTGGCCCTGCTACTCCCCGCCCAAACACCACTGCAGCTGTTGCACGCCCTGCTGTTCCCCTCCCTGCGCCCTCCCAACTGCCTCCCTGCTGCAGAAGTCCCACTGTCCCACTCTGTTCCTCTCTGCTCGCCATGCCTCCGTGCCTTGCCGTTGCTCCTGAAGCCACTGCACCTGTTGCAGAACCTCCTCCTGCTGCTGCTGCTGCTGCGTTTTGAGGCGCCCCTATATCCGTTGCAAGCCCTGCTACTGCTACTGTCGGCCCTGCTGCTGTTGCTGCTGTTCCCACATCGGTCATCAGTTGGGCCCCTGTTGCCCTCTCTGACACAAGCTTCCTCTCAAGAGCTCGAATCGCCTCTGCCACTGCGAACCTGTTATGGGGACAAGAAGGGGAACGTTTGACTTTGATTGGTACGTGGTAGCTTGATTGGCGAGCACGAGGCATAAGCATGAGGCATAAGCACGAGGCATAAGCACGAGGCATAAGCACGAGGCATAAGCACGAGGCATAAGCATGAGGCATAAGCATGAGGCATAAGCATGAGGCATAAGCATGAGGTATAAGCACGAGGCATAAGCACGAGGCATAAGGATGAGATGAGATAACAACCATGAGACATAAGCGTCACTCATACCACTCAACCTCCATGGCGTGACGGCAAGGCATACCCATGAGGCATAACCATACAGGCATGCGTGACTCACCACTCACCATCCATGCCCACCACTCACCACCACTCACAACCACTCACCCGTCCATGCCCGGCATCTGCAGGTCCATGAGAACCAAGTCGAACGCATGACATATTGATACACCCCCTTCTTCATTCCCTCCTCTTCCATTTCTTTCTCTTTCATTCCCTTCACCATCATCTGCTCCTCTCATATCCCCTCCTCTTTCACTTGCTCCCCTCGCCCCATAACCATCTCTACAATCCGCTACCGCTTCTGCACTGCTCCCAGCCATCCCTACCAGCATCCCCTTGCCTCTACTTCCAACCAACTCCCCGACCGCCATCCCCTTGCCTTTACTCTCAACCATCTCCCCAGCTCCCCCGGCTCCTGCTCTCATTAATTCACCAACCGCCCCTCTTGCTTCCAGCACCCCATTCCCAACCACTGCACCCACTTCCTCCCCTCTCGCCTCCTCCTCCCCTCTCCCAACTACCAGCCCAGCAGTGATCAAATCTACCGCCTCCTCCCCTCGGGAGGCAGTAGTCACAAGCGCCCCCCAGCGGGCGAGGGAGCGGCGGGCCACGAGGAGGTTGACGGGCGTGTCGTCCACCACCAGCACTCGCAGCCCCCCCACCCACGCCCGCGTCACCGCCTCATCCGCCGCTGCCCGCAGGCCGGTGGTTGCAGCGGTGATTTTGGCTACAGATGCAGATCGCTGGATTCTCTCTCTCGCTCTACTGCTAGCTGCTTTTCTTTCGATCACTGCCAAGCCCTCTCCTGCACTGCCTACCCTGCCCATCCCTGCTAGTGATCGCTCATGTTGTTTACGCGGCTGCAATAGCTGCTGCTGCTGCTGCTGCTGCTGCTGCTGGTTGATGTTCTGTTGAACCACCTGAGAATACTCCTGGCTGTGCTGCGAAGAAAGAGCATTCTCTTTGCACCCCTCCCTTGATTCTGACTCCCGGTTCTGCGTATTACGGCCGACTTCTGAACAGACTCCTGAGCCCGTCTCCTGTTCACGAGCACTGCTGGAACCACCTGGAGAATCACCTGACCCTGTTTCCAGACTCTCACAGAACCATGACGCCTCCCCTTGCTGCTGCTGACTCTGCAACTCTTGCGATTCTAACACTTCTGGTTTCTCATCCGAGCAGCGTTCTTGTATTGAGGGAACGGCCACGGGCACGGAAAACGCCACAGTGGACCCACAGCCAGGTTGGGAAGCAAAGGCAATCTCTCCCTTCATTAGAGTCACCTGCCAGTTGTTAGGAAAAAAGTCACTTACACTCAGAAGTTTTGCATGATCCCCTATGAAATGTGCAATAGGAGCGATTTCCTCACTCCAGATTATGCTTTCAAATGCTCAGGATTCCTACAGTGATGCTTGTACGCTGATGTCACTATTCTGACCCCTAAACAACATATCAAGTGCCAAAAAGAAAGCCGAAGCAATGTTACTCTCTCTCTGTGTGTGTGTGTGTGTGTGTGTGTGTGTGTGTGTGTGTGTGTGTGTGTGTGTGTGTGTGTGTGTGTGTGTGTGTGTGTGTGTGTGTGTGTGTGTGTGTGTGTGTGTGTGTGTGTGTGTGTGTGTGTGTGTGTGTGTGTGTGTGTGTGTGTGTGTGTGTGTGTGTGTGTGTGTGTGTGTGTGTGTGTGTGTGTGTGTGTGTGTGTGTGTGTGTGTGTGTGTGTGTGTGTGTGTGTGTGTGTGTGTGTGTGTGTGTGTGTGTGTGTGTGTGTGTGTGTGTGTGTGTGTGTGTGTGTGTGTGTGTGTGTGTGTGTGTGTGTGTGTGTGTGTGTGTGTGTGTGTGTGTGTGTGTGTGTGTGTGTGTGTGTGTGTGTGTGTGTGTGTGTGTGTGTGTGTGTGTGTGTGTGTGTGTGTGTGTGTGTGTGTGTGTGTGTGTGTGTGTGTGTGTGTGTGTGTGTGTGTGTGTGTGTGTGTGTGTGTGTGTGTGTGTGTGTGTGTGTGTGTGTGTGTGTGTGTGTGTGTGTGTGTGTGTGTGTGTGTGTGTGTGTGTGTGTGTGTGTGTGTGTGTGTGTGTGTGTGTGTGTGTGTGTGTGTGTGTGTGTGTGTGTGTGTGTGTGTGTGTGTGTGTGTGTGTGTGTGTGTGTGTGTGTGTGGTGTGTGTGTGTGTGTGTGTGTGTGTGTGTGTGTGTGTGTGTGTGTGTGTGTGTGTGTGTGTGTGTGTGTGTGTGTGTGTGTGTGTGTGTGTGTGTGTGTGTGTGTGTGTGTGTGTGTGTGTGTGTGTGTGTGTGTGTGTGTGTGTGTGTGTGTGTGTGTGTGTGTGTGTGTGTGTGTGTGTGTGTGTGTGTGGTGTGTGTGTGTGTGGTGTGTGTGTGTGGTGTGTGTGTGTGTGTGTGTGTGTGTGTGTGTGTGTGTGTGTGTGTGTGTGTGTGTGTGTGTGTGTGTGTGTGTGTGGTGTGTGTGTGTGTGTGTGTGTGTGTGTGTGTGTGTGTGTGTGTGTGTGTGTGTGTGTGTGTGTGTGTGTGTGTGTGTGTGTGTGTGTGTGTGTGTGTGTGTGTGTGTGTGTGTGTGTGTGTGTGTGTGTGTGTGTGTGTGTGTGTGTGTGTGTGTGTGTGTGTGTGTGTGTGTGTGTGTGTGTGTGTGTGTGTGTGTGTGTGTGTGTGTGTGTGTGTGTGTGTGTGTGTGTGTGTGTGTGTGTGTGTGTGTGTGTGTGTGTGTGTGTGTGTGTGTGTGTGTGTGTGTGTGTGTGTGTGTGTGTGTGTGTGTGTGTGTGTGTGTGTGTGTGTGTGTGTGTGTGTGTGTGTGTGTGTGTGTGTGTGTGTGTGTGTGTGTGTGTGTGTGTGTGTGTGTGTGTGTGTGTGTGTGTGTGTGTGTGTGTGTGTGTGTGTGTGTGTGTGTGTGTGTGTGTGTGTGTGTGTGTGTGTGTGTGTGTGTGTGTGTGTGTGTGTGTGTGTGTGTGTGTGTGTGTGTGTGTGTGTGTGTGTGTGTGTGTGTGTGTGTGTGTGTGTGTGTGTGTGTGTGTGTGTGTGTCTGTGTGTGTGTGTGTGTGTCTGTGTCTGTGTCTGTGTCTGTGTGTGTGTGTGTGCGTGTGTGTGTGAGAGCGTGCTTTCGTGCGTGCAAGTGTGCGTGTACCTCTATGTGTGTGTGCGTGTGCCTCTGTGTGTACGTGCACGCGTGAGTGCGTGTGTGCATGTGTGTGCATGTGTACCCATGTGTGTGCATGTGTGAGCATGTGTGAGCATGTGTGTGCATGTGTGTGCATGTGTGTACATGTGTGTGCATGTGTGTGCATGTGTGTGCATGAGGATGCGTGGTGTTTTCATGCAATCCATTCCAATCCAACCATGAGCGAGCGGCCCTTTACATTCAAAAGCAACACACCAAATAAAGGAGAAGAGGAAGAAGAAGAAGAAGAAGAAGAAGAAGAGGAAGAGGAAGAGGAAGAGGAAGAGGAAGAATTATGAACTGGCAGGCAGCTCACCATCTGGTGCATGAGCACGAGCCCAAGCGATGCTCCGGATCCTCTCCCTGCCTCGTGCAACTCCTGCATGGTGGGTGTCATGCCATGGAGTGTGTGGGGTTAGAGCAAGGAGAAGATTCACTAGATGGAATGGGATGGCATGGGATGGCATGGAAAGGCATGGGGTGAAAGGAAAGGGATGGCATTGGTGGGAGAGAGCACCAACGACAACAACAACTCACTGCGAGCGACAAGTCAGAATGAGAAGTCCCAGTGCTGGTGTGAACGAGACGTCTCAAAACACTTCTTCATACAGAAAGCATGGAAAGGCATGGGATGGCATGGGTGGGAGAGAGCGTTAATGACAACAACAACTCACTGCGAGCGAAAAGTGCGAAGCCTCCTTGCTGGTGTGAACTCCGAGCAGAGACAGCGGCAGGCCGCATCCCGAGTCGCGACACGACACCACCAGCACACCCGACCGATCCCCTTCCCCATCCTCGGGACTCCCCTCCCTTGATCCACAAAAGGTGTTGCTGGTCACACTTGCTGCTGCTGCTGGCAACCTCCCGAAAGCGTCCTTCAGGGAACCCCATGCAGAGCAAGACCAGGCAGCCTTCCAGCGTGTGAGAGTGGAAGTCGGTGGGTGAGGGGCGGCTGTGGGAAGTCCTGGAGGAGAAAGGCAAGTGCAAAGGGCGGGGAGAGAGGGAATGAGTGTGGAAGCGGGTGTGTGCACGGCTGCAGCTGGCAATCTCCTGAAAGCGTCTTTCGGCCAGACCCATGATGAGCAAGACCAGTTAGCAGCAGTCCAGGTGGTGGGAGTAGAAGCGGGTGTGTGAGGGGCGGATGTGGAACGGCCTGGAGGAGAAACGCGAATGCAAAGGGAGGGGGCGAGAATGGATAACGGTGTAACAGAGTGAATGAGGGTTATTTAGATAGTGACCTCTGTAAATGTCAGTGCTTACAAGGTCGCTTACCCTGGAGATGAAGGGTGTCTTGCAAGCTTGTTCCTTGTGGCAGCAGGGACACCCGCACTGTCACGTGGCCTTGCTCCGTGAACTTCACTGCGTTATCTGAAATGAACCGAGGTGGTAGTGTACAGCAAAGAGTAAAATAATATCATTCGTCATGCATATCTGAGGATTAGAAAATGAACACTCAACTACTGCTAGTTAGTGTCGATTGAGGAAGGCGAGTTGGCACCCATATTTATTGCATAAGTATTGGGATGGATTGGCCCAGCTCAGGCCAGCCGTTTTGATGGCGTGTCCAATCAACATGAGTCGTACTTGATTCTATTCTTTTTTATTTTCAAGCCAAATCAGTCAGTGCACCACAGCTGTCAAGGACCAATGTCCCTCTTCCTAAGTATTTCAAACCTCACAATAAAAAACCGTTGACAGGGAAATCAAACAGTACATCCTTTCCTTAACGTAAGATTGTCTCTTTTGTTTTACCTGCCCAATCGTTTTCCAAGCACAAGCTCCAAGCTTAATGCACTAACGAGATAGCGCAGTACACTCTGATCAGCCGACCAGTGCTCGGATCGGTGCTTCGCAATCGCAACAAAGCGAGCAAGGATGCTGAGGGGATATGCGAGAACTGAGCGAGTGCAAGTCATGAGGTACATGAGGCACCCCACCAGCTCTGCGTACTGACCACTTGGCTCAGCCGGCTTATCAGCCAAGAACCGAAAGCTTATGGTCAACAGACAGAGGAGTGCGCTGTGTAAAGAAGAACTGCACAGTTCATGTTCAATTCAACCACCCGCTGCTTTGAAGCAGCTCGAGCTGAATCAGTTGGGCTTTGGCACGTGGTCATGACTATCCGCACACGTACCAATGATTTCTTTGAGAACCTTGGAGAGGTGCATCGGGTCCGCAATAATGTAATTCGGAACACCGTCGTCCACACTGCCGCAAACTAAAGGAGAAGGAGAAACAAGGTGGGTGGAAATCCAAAAGAAAAAATGGACTTAAAGGGTGCTCAATGCTGTACTTTTGAGGAGCACACGAGCGGGTGTTTCAACACAAATAACACATATTTTTCAAGGGTAGGTTACATTCATTCATATACATGTGTTGAGAGACAACTAGTTTTAAGCATGCCAGAGATTGAATTCAAGGGAAAAACTTGTTCACTCACACGCAATGCCTTTGGAGCGCGCCTCCTCTGCGTGCCAGCCCAATGCTGCATCAAGCCACTCCCGCACGTCAATCACCGTCTCATCCACCACCGCCTTGCCTGCCTCCAGCTTCGCCAGGTCCAACACGCGGTTGACCAGATGCAGTGCATCCATTGCACACCCTCGTGCAGTGAGGAGGTCTGATAGCTGAGGGGGTTGGAGACTCCTGTCTGCTAGAGCATCGAGCATGCCTGGTGGGAGAGAGAGGGGTGGAGAAAGGAATGTGTATGGCATCAAGGAGAAAGTGACACGGATAGGCCTCACGAGCAAGGGTTGAGGAAATGGGGTTGATGTTAGCAAAGTCTTAGACCACCATTCTATGACTTTCATGTGACTGGAACCAACAACAGCTGTGACAATGCAGCAGACGGATTCTGTTGTTGCACGCACGCACACGCACAGAAGCGTACCAATGATTCCCATCATCGGTGTCCTGAGCTCGTGAGACATGCACGCAACAAACATGCTGTTTGACGCCTCCGCTCCCTTCCGAATCTTCTTCACGCGAAGAATAAAACAAACTCGGTGATAATGCATGAACACTGTACGTACCAACGATCCCCATCATCGGTGTCCGGAGCTCGTGAGACATGCACGCCACAAACATGCTCTTTGATGCCTCTGCATCCTCTGCTTCCTTCCTCAGTTTGTCTGCAACTGCCATCTGCTGCTGCGTCTGGAAGAACTGGGCTCGCTGAATCCGAGCCGCCACCACCACGAGCAGCACGAGGAGGAGGGCGAAGAGGGTGATGAGGATGGGGATGCCCCACGATTGCCACGCGTTGGGAGGCTCTGTGTTCCTGGAAGAGGGGGAGTAATAGGAGAGGGCATGTTGGTTATATTAGACAGTTAGATTTTGCATATGATCTTTTACGTTATGAACTCGCAAAAAACAGCCTTTTCACGAAAAAAAAAAAAACACCGCTGTTAAGGGAACATGGACAGGACAAGGATTTCTTACAACAGTAACAAGCGAACATACATCTGTATATGAATGTATTCAACATCTCACCTGCACCAGGCCTCGTACTTTCTCACGCCCGCTCCCAGCTGATCCAAAGGTACCACCGCCGGTGATTCCCAGGGGCGCGTTTCGGAGAGAGGCGAGGGCAGCATGTTGGGGCGAACGTCGTTGGGGCGGAAGTATATGTACGGTGGGACTGGTGAGACGATGGCGAAGAGAGAGGAGCGGTCTGTGACATCGTACATCTCGAACGATTTTGATGAGTCTAGATGGAAGGAAAGGGAGGGAGGGGAGGTGGAGAGGAAGGGTGGGGGGGATGGGGATTCGAAGGAAAGGTTGGGAAGAGAGGAAGGAGAAGGACAAGGCCTCACACAGAGCGCGAGAGTTGGAGCCAAAGGTCATAATTGACCTATGATGTAATGTGACAACAATGGGCGCAGACAGGCACTTCACTTTCAAAGAGAGAAGACAGGCCTGGTGAGTACACTAGGTGTGCACTGTCCTGTCCTTCATACTGTCCTTCATACTGTCCTTCATACTGTCCTTCATACTGTCCTTCATACTGTCCTTCATACTGTCCTTCATACTGTCCTTCATACTGTCCTTCATACTGTCCTTCATACTGTCCTTCATACTGTCCTTCATACTGTCCTTCATACTGTCCTTCATACTGTCCTTCATACTGTCCTTCATACTGTCCTTCATACTGTCCTTCATACTGTCCTTCATACTGTCCTTCATACTGTCCTTCATACTGTCCTTCATACTGTCCTTCATACTGTCCTTCATACTGTCCTTCATACTGTCCTTCATACTGTCCTTCATACTGTCCTTCATACTGTCCTTCATACTGTCCTTCATACTGTCCTTCATACTGTCCTTCATACTGTCCTTCATACTGTCCTTCATACTGTCCTTCATACTGTCCTTCATATGTCCTTCATACTGTCCTTTCATACTGTCCTCATACTGTCCTTCCATTACTGTCCTTCATACTGTGCCCTTCATACTGTCCTTCATACTGTCCTTCATACTGTCCTTCATACTGTCCTTCATACTGTCCTTCATACTGTCCTTCATACTGTCCTTCATACTGTCCTTCATACTGTCCTTCATACTGTCCTTCATACTGTCCTTCATACTGTCCTTCATACTGTCCTTCATACTGTCCTTCATACTGTCCTTCATACTGTCCTTCATACTGTCCTTCATACTGTCCCTTCATACTGTCCTTCATACTGTCCTTCATACTGTCCTTCATACTGTCCTTCATACTGTCCTCCAGACTGCCCTCATACTGTCCTTCATACTGTCCTTCATACTGTCCTTCATACTGTCCTTCATACTGTCCCTCATGCGATCTTTCATACTGTCCTTCATACTGTCCTTCATACTGTCCTTCATACTGTCCTTCATACTGTCCTTCATACTGTCCTTCATACTGTCCTTCATACTGTCCTTCATACTGTCCTTCATACTGTCCTTCATACTGTCCTTCATACTGTCCTTCATACTGTCCTTCATACTGTCCTTCATACTGTCCTTCATACTGTCCTTCATACTGTCCTTCATACTGTCCTTCATACTGTCCTTCATACTGTCCTTCATACTGTCCTTCATACTGTCCTTCATACTGTCCTTCATACTGTCCTTCATACTGTCCTTCATACTGTCCTTCATACTGTCCTTCATACTGTCCTTCATACTGTCCTTCATACTGTCCTTCATACTGTCCTTCATACTGTCCTTCATACTGTCCTTCATACTGTCCTTCATACTGTCCTTCATACTGTCCTTCATACTGTCCTTCATACTGTCCTTCACTCACCAGGTGCATACAACTTTTCCAGGACCTTCTGTGGAATGGATGTCACGTCAACGGATGCAGCAAGCGTGTACAGTACGCTATCGTTGCAGCAGCTGACTAGCTCATGTGTCTAATGCAGTGGTGAGTACACCAGGTGCGTTTCCCTTCACTCACCAGGTGCATACAGCTCCTCCAGGACCTTCTGTGCGATGGAAGTCACGTCAACAGAGGCAGCAAGCGTCCCATACACTGTTGAAACAGCCGCCCTGCTTGTGTTGGTCGGAGGAGTGACACTGCGCCGAAGAGGAAAACCCAAGCCTGCAGCGGCGACAATATGAGGGTTGAAACGATGTGAGGGTTGAGTTGAAACAATGTGAGGGTTGAGTTGAAACGATGTGAGGGTTGATTGAATTGAAACGATATGAGGGCACAACAATAAGGTTTCGTGAACTTGACTAGAAGCCCAAGTGCCCCATACGCTGTTGAGGCAGGGTTTCAAAACGCAAGTGCGTTGATTGCTTGTTAGATCTCATCACTGCAATTAAGCCTTTTCAAACGATAAAAAAAAAAAATAGTCACCGAACCTGCCATATTCTCGACTCCAAAGCCTAATAGCTGGGACTTACCAAACCCAGCATGGCCTGAAGAATTAGCCATGGGATACGGCCACGTGTAAAGCGCCTTTCCCGCCACTGCAAGGGGAATCTCATTGACGAATCGCTTCATGAGGTCGACGTGCCATGAGCCATTGGCTGCCTCGACTGTGGAGAAATCGAGAATCTTGGGGCAGTACATGGGGCGGTGGGCGCTGACGTTCCTAGTGTTGTCCTTTATGGTACCGTATAGTCGCTCAAAGGTCGCTCTGAAGCAGTGACGTTCGTGGGGTGAATTGGGATTTGGAATGAAGGAGGAACAAGGGAATCAGAATGGGGAGTGGAGAGAATCACTTCGTAAGGTCGATGTGCCATTGAGGCATTGGCTGCCAGCCATTGAGGCATTGGCACTGTTACTCAAAGGAAGCCCTGCATTGATGTGTGCGGGTGGGATCAGGTGGGAAGGGAGGGCAAAGAGCGCTTCATGAGGTTTTGAGACGTCTCAAAACACTCCTTCTTTCACGTCGCTTCATGAGGTCGGTGTGCCATGAGGCATTGCTTGTTGCCACGACTGTGGAGGAATCGAGGATCTTGGGGCAGTAGATGGGGCGGTGGGCGGTGATGTTCCTAGTGTTGTCCTTTATTTATGTACAAGGATGTGGGTTCAAACCGCAGCAAGCGGATGTGAGGGTGGGCGGTGACGTTCCCAGTGCTGTCCTTTATTTATGGTACTGTATAGTCCCTCAAAGGTCGCCCTGCAATGATGTGTGGGGGTGGGTAGGCTCATGTAGGAAGGGAATGCAAAGAGTGTTGTGGAGAAATCGAGGAGCTTGGGGTAGCAGATGGGGCGTTGAGCGCTGACGTTCCTAGTGTTGTCCTTTTTATATGGTAACGTATTGTCGCTCCAAAGGAGCCCTGCGGCTAGGGGTGAGCAAAATCACCAACGCCTGTTCGGTTCGCCCCTTGCTCACCCCTACCTGAGGCGACGTGTGTGGGGTGAATCGGGAGGAAGTGGAAAGAGGCATAAAAAAACTCATGGTTTTTGAATCGACTCAATATCACCCTAGCATACCAGCACATGGTTTGCGCCATCACAAAACACACTACTCGCTAACTCCCTTCTTTCCTCCTTCCCTCCTTCCATCCTGACCTCTCCTCGTTGTTGATATAGACACTCGAATATGGCCCATCCTCACATCACATCCACCCATCCTCACATCACATCCACCCATCCTCACATCACATCCACCCACCCTCACATCACATCCACCCATCCTCACATCACATCCACCCACCCTCACATCACATCCACCCATCCTCACATCACATCTACCCATCCTCACATCACATCCACCCACCCTCACATCACATCCACCCATCCTCACATCACATCCACCCACCCTCACATCACATCCACCCACCCTCACATCACATCCACCCATCCTCACATCACATCCACCCACCCTCACATCACATCCACCCACCCTCACATCACATCCACCCATCCTCACATCACATCCACCCACCCTCAAATCACATCCACCCATCCTCACATCACATCCACCCACCCTCAAATCACATCCACCCATCCTCACATCACATCCACCCACCCTCACATCACATCCACCCATCCTCACATCACATCCACCCATCCTCACATCACATCCACCCATCCTCACATCACATCCACCCATCCTCACATCACATCCACCCACCCTCACATCCGCCAACCACCACATCCCCATTCCCTCTCTCGCCTCTCTTCGTCCGTTACAAAGACACATGCAGTCGCCCCCGTGATGCCCCCTCACCTCACATCCACCCACCCTCACATCCACCCACCCTCACATCCGCCAACCACCACTACTAGCCTAAGCTCAGCGTAGAGGAGATTAGGACGAGTTACCTGTTGGATCCAGGTCGAAACTATTTCCCTATCCCACCCTCACATCAAACACATCCACCAACCACCACTTCCCCCCTCCCTCTCTCTCACCTCTCCTCGTCCGTGACAAAGACACACGCGGTCGCCCCCGTGTTGCCCGGGCGGGCATAGGCGGTGTGAGTGAGGTACGCCTCCCACGTGCTGCCGTTTAAACACGTGTCCAGCCCCCACTTGCCCCGCTGTCCCGGCTTGCCCATCACTGAGATGATGCCTGTGAGTGTCTGTGCATGGGAGGACAGGGAGAATAGAAGACCATCAGGGTAAAGGCAGTGCGAGTGAGGTAGACCTCCCCCCAGGTGATGCGCTGCAAACACGTGCTCAACTCCCATTGCCTCTCCGCCCCGGCCTGCCCATCACTGAGATGATGCCTGTGAGTGTCTGTGCATGGGAGGACAGAGGGCAGGGAGAATAACAACTAAGCAATAGCATCAGTGAATGTCATGAACACAAAGTGCATGGTCGTTGTCCCACTTGCCCCTCCGCCCCGGCTTGCCCATCACTGAGATGATGCCTGTGAGTGTCTGTGCATGGGATGGAGGACAGTTTTGAGGCGCCTCAAAACTAGGCGCCTCAAAACTAGGTGTCTGTGCATGGGATGGAGGACAGAGGGCAGGGCACTGCGAGTGTCTGTGCATGGGATGGAGTACAGAGGGCAGGGCACTGCGGCAACGACGACGACGACGACGACGACAAGAACGAAAAGTGTTGAATGGGATGGGACTCCCCTGGCTCCAAACCAGGCTTACATACCTTAAACACGAATTCAGCCTCATTATCTGCACCTGCCCACCCACATGAGTAAGCACGAGCCGCTGCAGCATGAGGGCATGAGAGGAGCACCCATGCTGCAGGAGGTAAGATTGCTAGTACCACACCAGCCTTACCTGCATCTGCCTGGCATGAATAAGCACGAGTTGCTGCAGCAGGTAAGAATGCAAAGTCCTGACAACAATCCCATCCCACCTGCATCGGTCCATCGTGGGTAAGCACGAGCTGCTGCAGCACGAGGGCGCGAGGGCAGCACCCATGCTGCAGGAGGCAAGGACGCTAACACCAATTCAACAGCATTACCTGCATCTGCCCCACATGGGTGAGCACGAGCTGCTGCAGCATGAGGGCGCGCTCCTTGCACCACACGCCCAGCGCCTCCTCCCTGCGGCTCTCGTATTGGGAATGCTTCGAGTAGAGCAGCCGCCCTGAGACGCCCAGCCCACACAGCACCCACGCCGCCACCAGCACTGTGAACCAGGGGGCTGGGCGGGGGGTGAGTGAGAAGGAGGCGAGAGAGGACACGGGTTAAGCTTAGGAGGGAAATCCTCGAAATGCAAGTGCTTGGAGTAGAACAGCCAGGCTGCCACGGCCAGCCCACACAGCACCCACGCCGCCACCAGCACTGTGAACCAGGGCGCTGAGCGGGGGGGGAGAGGGGAGGGAGAGTGAGAGGGGGAGAGCGAGAGAGTGAAGGAGGAAAAGGGGTAAGCTTAGGGGTGCAATCCTTATACTGCGAGTGCTTCCAGTAGAGCAGGCATGCCGCAACCTCCACCAGCCCACACACACAGCACCCATGCTGCGACGAGCACTGTGCGCGAGGGCGCTGGGCAAGGGAGAGGGGCGAGCGAGAGAGGGGCGAGAGAGAGAGGGGCGAGAGAGAGGTGAGAGGGAGCCGAGGGAGGGGCGAGAGAGGGCGAAAGAGGGGTGAGAGAGGGGGAGAGAGGGGGAGAGAGGGGGAGAGAAGGGGAGAGAGGGGGAGAGAGGGGCGAGAGAGAGGTGAGAGAGGGGCGAAAGAGGGGCGAAAGAGGAGGAGAGGGTGAGAGGGGGAGAGGGGGCAGAATCAGAAGGGTGAGAGGGGGAGAGAGGGGCGAGAGAGGGGGAGAGATGGGGAGAGAGGGGGATAGAGGGGGAGAGAGGGCGAGAGAGGGGGAGAGAGGGGGAGAGAGGGCGAGAGAGGGGGAGAGAGGGGGAGAGAGGGCGAGAGAGGGGGAGAGAGGGGGAGAGAGGGGGAGAGAGAGGGAGAGAGGGCGAGAGAGGGGGAGAGAGGGGGAGAGAGGGCGAGAGAGGGGGAGAGAGGGCGAGAGAGGGGGAGAGAGGGGGAGAGAGGGGGAGAGAGGGCGAGAGAGGGGGAGAGAGGGCGAGAGAGGGGGAGAGAGGTGGAGAGAGAGGCGAGAGAGGGCAGAATGAGAAGCGAGAGCTGATCAGGCAGAGCAGCCACGGCCAGAGAACACAGCACCCACGCCGCCACCAGCACTGTGAACCAGGGCGCTGAGCGGGGGGGGAGAGGGGAGGGAGAGTGAGAGGGGGAGAGCGAGAGAGTGAAGGAGGAAAAGGGGTAAGCTTAGGGGTGCAATCCTTATACTGCGAGTGCTTCCAGTAGAGCAGGCATGCCGCAACCTCCACCAGCCCACACACACAGCACCCATGCTGCGACGAGCACTGTGCGCGAGGGCGCTGGGCAAGGGAGAGGGGCGAGCGAGAGAGGGGCGAGAGAGAGAGGGGCGAGAGAGAGGTGAGAGGGAGCCGAGGGAGGGGCGAGAGAGGGCGAAAGAGGGGTGAGAGAGGGGGAGAGAGGGGGAGAGAGGGGGAGAGAAGGGGAGAGAGGGGGAGAGAGGGGCGAGAGAGAGGTGAGAGAGGGGCGAAAGAGGGGCGAAAGAGGAGGAGAGGGTGAGAGGGGGAGAGGGGGCAGAATCAGAAGGGTGAGAGGGGGAGAGAGGGGCGAGAGAGGGGGAGAGATGGGGAGAGAGGGGGATAGAGGGGGAGAGAGGGCGAGAGAGGGGGAGAGAGGGGGAGAGAGGGCGAGAGAGGGGGAGAGAGGGGGAGAGAGGGCGAGAGAGGGGGAGAGAGGGGGAGAGAGGGGGAGAGAGAGGGAGAGAGGGCGAGAGAGGGGGAGAGAGGGGGAGAGAGGGCGAGAGAGGGGGAGAGAGGGCGAGAGAGGGGGAGAGAGGGGGAGAGAGGGGGAGAGAGGGCGAGAGAGGGGGAGAGAGGGCGAGAGAGGGGGAGAGAGGTGGAGAGAGAGGCGAGAGAGGGCAGAATGAGAAGCGAGAGCTGATCAGGCAGAGCAGCCACGGCCAGAGAACACAGCACCCACGCCGCCACCAGCACTGTGAACCAGGGCACTGGGTGAGGGAGAGGGGCGAGAGAGGGGAGGGAGCGAGGGAAGAGAGGGGAGGGAGCGAGGGAAGAGAGGGGAGGGAGCGAGGAAAGAGAGGTGAGGGAGCGAGGGAAGAGAGGGGAGGGAGCGAGGAAAGAGAGGGGAGGGAGCGAGGGAAGAGAGGGGAGGGAGCGAGGGAAGAGAGGGGAGGGAGAAGGAAGAGCTGATCAGGAGAACAAACGGAGAGCGAAGGGAGAGAGAAAATTGAATGAGAGAAGAGAACGAGGGGAGGGCGAGGAAGAAGAAAAGAAGAATGAGAGGAGATACTGCTCCTACTAAACCACACAGCACCCATGCCGCGAACCAGATGGCTGGGCAAGCGAGAGGGGGAAGGGGGTGGGTGGGGGGACAGCGGATGAGGGGAAGGCGGATGGTGGGGGAAGGCAGATGAGGGGGAAAGGCGGATGAGGGGAAGGCGGATGGTGGGGGAAGGCAGATGAGGGGAAAAGGCGGATGAGGGGAAGGCGGGTGAGGGGAAGGCGGTTGAGGGGAAGGCGGGTGAGGGGTGTGGGGAATCGGGTGGGGGAATCGGGTGTGGGGAGTCGGGTGGGGGAATCGGGTGGGGGAAATCGGGTGGGGGGGGGGGGGTGTAAGGGGGGAATCGGATGGGGGGAATTGGGTGAAGGAAGACCTGTACCGATAAGGCCATGAATGCGAGGGGGGAAGGAATAATTGCACTTGTTCGATCAGCACGCCTTCCGCATTTGTTCCCCGCACTTTTCCGCCCTCATTGCGAACGCATTCCGCTCTCATTTCGCGCCCGTTTCCGCTTTGCGGCGCGGCGGTTGTCTTTTAACCCTTCGTGAAAGCCCGTAGGCGTTACAGCCACTCGCATTCCGCGCGTGTTTCCGCTCTCAACTCTCCGTCCACGCATTCCGGATTGGAATTTCCGCGCGCGGTCAATCCATTCCCGCCTCGCCAATACGACTAGAGCATTCATGTCGGAATGCGTGTCAAACTGCGTGTCGAACTCCGTGTCAAAATTGCTTATCAAAAGCTGCGGTCCCTTTTTCCACCTTTGTGAATTTTAAAGTCGACTAAAAAATCACTAAATTGCTTATCAAAAGCTGCGTGCACTTTTTCCACATTTCCAGGGCGAGCCAGGCGGCTTTGCATGGCGTCGCCACTCAACGAACCTGTTCAATTCTATACGAACCTGGTGAGGTCCCGCCGGCGGGAGCAATCGGGATCTGTTTTTAACATTCTACAGTACTGATCCTCGTGATTCACCACTCAAACCGAGAACGGTGCGCGCTAGGTTAGCGCCTCGATGTTGTCGACTATCTGACGTCCCCCTGTTCGCGAACTAACATGGATTTCTAAAGCGCGTGAACCACCCATTCGTTTTTGTCACTCTTACCCTGGAATAGCACTCCTGCGGAGAAAATTATGGGACCTCCCGAAGCATTATCATCCTTTTTCTCTCTCAGCGTCTTGAGGGCAGTCGCATCGCCTAGTATAACTCGGTCCTCCGCCATGACGGTAGCTTCTCTCGCAGACTCTCTCGTAGCCGTTTCTTTCGCCGACTTCTAGACGGCTACGCGGCTCGTGACGCTGCAGCTCGCCGGGGTCATAGCACTACTACCGGCGACGCTGTGACTGTAGCGAGGCCAGAGCCGAGACTTATGATGAATGTTATGATCAGTTCAGACTAACGCGATGTGTGTGAACCGTGTGTGTTTACAAACTACTGCGTATCTGTGAATGTTAGGGCGCGTGAGGTCTTTGAAATTTGTAAAAGTTTATGTTTTTAGGGAGAATTTTAGTTTTGAACTTACAACGAAAGAAGTTCGAATTTCCTTCTATCGAAGTTCGAACATCGGGCTTACCACACTGTAAAAAATCACACACACATACAAGGTCGAACCCCGACATTCGAACTTGTAAAAACGAGCCGAGCCGCACGTCAACATCATAGGTTACCCGGTTCGCTCGTCTTGACAGTGCGCCACGTCAACATTTTGCGCCTCGGTTTACAAGGACCTAGAGCTCCAACTCACCTTCCGCGCCGAGTGTGTAACCAGGGTACAAATAGCACCCGTGGCAACACCTTGTATACTCGTCATTCGCCCGCGTTGCCACATCGTGCTCGAACGTGCCACGATGCTGGACACGTGGCTACCACTGTGTGCACGAATTGTGGGGTGTCTTCGTTGTGCAACTTCATGCACTGGCGAAGCGCTCGCCCATTTCGCCAGCTGTTTGGACGTGCTGCAAATCACACACGCTCGCATGAACGTGCGCACGCACGTTCCCACCTCCGACTCAAGTCAAGTTCATATTTCAAACTCGAACTTTTGCAGAGCCCATACAATGCTTGGTTCGCGAAGCACCCTTCGCGAAATTAGCGAATAGGGTAACCACCCAAAGTTCGAACTTTATTTTGAACTTCTAAACAGACCACACGCGCCCTTAGGGTAGTTTTCTATCCCGTGTCAGACACGAAGCCAGACACGAAGTTGAGGTTGGGAAGACCCAAAGGACCTCGGAATGCTGGCAAATTTAGGTTCGGAAAACACAAACCGAGTCACTTTGTGTCTTCCGAAGCTTTGACCTGCTGTCTGACATCTCTTCCTCTCATCTTCTCAACCTCTCTTCCTCCCATCCTCTCATCTTCTCAACCTCTCTTCCTCCCTTCCTCTCATCTTCTCAACCTCCCATCCTCCCGTCCTCTCATCTTCTCATCCTCTCTTCCTCTCATCTTCTCATCCTCCCATCCTCCCATCCTCTCATCCTCCCTTCCTCTCATCCGCCCTTCCTCGCATTCTCCCTTCCTCCCATCCCCCCGTCCTCTCATCCTCCCTTCCTCTCATCTTCTCATCCTCCCATCCTCCCGTCCTCTCATCCGCCCTTCCTCTCATGCTCCCTTCCTCTCATCCTCCCGTCCTCTCATCCTCCTTTCCTCTCATCCTTCCTTCCTCCCTTTCTTCTCATCCTCCCATCCTCCCGTCCTCTCATCCTCCCTTCCTCTCATCCGCCCTTCCTCGCATTCTCCCTTCCTCTCATCCCCCCGTCCTCTCATCCTCCCTTCCTCTCATCTTCTCATCCTCCCATCCTCCCGTCCTCTCATCCGCCCTTCCTCTCATGCTCCCTTCCTCTCATCCTCCCTTCTTCTTATCCGCCCTTCCTCTCATCCTCTCTTCCTCTCATCCTCCCTTCTCATCTTCTCACCCTCCCACCCGTCCTCTCATCCTCCCGCTCTCGGTTCTAACTCTCCACCATCCCACCGTTGGTCACATCCTCCCTCTCTCTGTTTTTCCCCCACTCCCTTCCTTCCATCCTTGTAAGTGCTATCATAACCTATTCATGTCCTATTGGATGGATGCAGAGGCTACTTCTTCTGCACAATTACCCTACAGTGCAAGATCAAACCTGTCTTCATCACGTAGCTTGTGCACCATGCGCTTGTATTACAGCAAAAGTTGCTTTGTAGTATAAGACTCGACGCTGTTGTAACACATTGTACACCACAAATGAGTCAACCTACACCACACCATGCGTTGCAATCAAGCTATCAAGTCAACATACAACACATCATGCCTCGCAAGCAAGTTTCTGTCAACCTACAACACGCCATGCCTCGCAAGCAAGCTTCTAAGTCAATCTACGGCGCTCCATGCCTTGCGCCCTATGCCCTCTGCACTCCCTCGCCCTACCCTCCTCTCGCTCCCTTCCTTTCAACTATCGGGATCATCACAATGATGCACTGCAGACAGCGTACACCTACCACACCTCAAAATGATGGATCGGAACCTCCGTGGGGGCAGGCCATGCTGTTCCACCCGCTGCCCCTCGGCTTCTCCCACAACGAGCTCAACATACGAGCGCTGCTTCCCACCTCCTTCCTTTCCCCCTCCCCCCACCTTTACCTCCGCCCCTCAAAACACTGTCCCTTGTGCCCCATGCCTTGTGCTCCTCCTTCTGCCCCACCACCAGGATCATCACAGCGTTGCAGATAGTGTGCGCCTACCACACCTCTGCAATGCCTCCGTGCGGGCAGGCCATGCTCTTCCACCCGCTGTGATAGTGGTGGGAGTGCGCGTGGCAATTGGCTTCCCCCGCACGCCGACGACCTACTGCTGCGAGAGATGATGCACGCCGAGGAGGCTGCTGGGGTGGCGTGCTTTGCCGTTACTGCTGCCTGCCACAGCCTTGACAATGTGAGCCTTCTGCACACTCCCACCGAGAGCAGAGTGATGGAATGTGAGGGCGGAGGGATGGGATGTGAGGGCGGAGGGATGGGATGTGAGGGCGGAGGGATGGGATGTGAGGGCGGAGGGATGGGAGGGGGAAATGAAGGCGACGGGAAGGGGAAATGAAGGCGACGGTAGGGGGAAATGAAGGCGGCGGGAGGGGGAAATGAAGGCGACGGGAGGGGGAAATGAAGGCGACGGGAAGGGGAAGTGAAGGCGGCGGGAGGGGGAAATGAAGGCGACGGGAGGGGGAAATAAAGGCAACGGGAGGGGGAAATGAAGGCAGCGGGAGGGGGAAGTGACGGCGACGGGAGGGGGAAATGAAGGCGACAGGAGGGGGAAATGAAGGCGACGGGAAGGGGAAATGAAGGCGATAGGAGGGGGAAATGAAGGCGTCGGGAGGGGGAAATGAAGGCGACGGGAGGGGGAAATGAAGGCGACGGGAGGGGGAAGTCAAGGCGACGGAAGGGGGAAATGAAGGCAACGGGGGGGGGGTGGGGTGGGGAAGTGGAGGCGACAGGAGGAAGAAGTGAAGGCGACGGGAGGGGGAAACGAAGGCGACGGGAGGGGGAAATGAAGGCGACGGGAGGGGGAAGTGAAGGCGACAGAAGGGGGAAATGAAGGCAACGGGGGGGGGGTGGGGTGGGGAAGTGAAGGCGACAGGAGGAAGAAGTGAAGGCGACGGGAGGGGGAAATGCAGGCGACGGTAGTGGGGGAGTGAAGGCGAGGGTGGGGGAAGTGAAGGCGACCGGCAATGCATTTGCGACGGGATTTAGGGTTTAATCGGCGCTTTTCGACCTTCGTAATGCGCCTCCGATTTATCTCGACTGAACGCAGTTTGCCCATTCTCCAGGTATGCTTTACACCTAAGGACGTGTGTGAAACAAGGGTTTATGAAAGTTCACGTTTTTTACTCGATTTAAGCAGGGTTTTATAACCTGAACTTGAATCGATTTTGAGATGTGGCAAGGTTCGCACCGCGAGTGCAAATTCTTGTATACTCACAATCACACACCAAGGTGCGAATTTGCAAGTTCGAATTTACAGAGGGGGAACCGAGCCGCAATTGGAGACTGTAGGTTACCCGGTTTCAAGCACACCACAGCGCGACACGTCACCGGAGCGCTGCTAAAAAAAGTGAGCCCTAGACCTCCAGCTCAACTTCACATCTGTGGCAGTTGTGCACGATACAAATATCGGCGAGATGAACCAATTTCCAAGTCAGCATCTCACAATGACTCTCATTCAGCTCGTGCGTTTCCTGGGGATTGTGTTTCAAGGCTACCTGCGATGCCTCGTACTTCCAATGCTCACTGCCATTGGTGCGGCCATCCCCAGGCTCGTCGCTGCCTTCACTCTGCGACAGACCCGCGTCTTCGTCCGTGGGGATCGCCAGGATGCCCGCATGCGGTGGTTCAAGCTGATTACCCTGCTGCCCGAGGATAAGTTTTACGAGTACATGCGCGTGGACCGGCGTGTATTCATTTACCTCGTGTGCCAATACCAGCGAACCAACACCTCTACGCGAACGCATCCCATGTTCTCCTTCATTTTCGTCGCTATGGGACTAAACCGTCTCGGTCATGGTCTGTCATTCCGTCAACACGGTGTGAAAGCATGCTAGACCTCTTTTTTAATGCTTGAGGGTTGGTGTTGGGGAGCTGCAACATTCTTGACGAAGATGTCAAGAATGTTGGCGGGATTTCATGGCCCCATCGTGTGCGCTGGGAGAGACGCGCGCACGACTAGCCATCGTGGCACGAATTGTGCCACGTGGTGGCCATAGCGAGTTCAGCAATGCGCTGTGTCTTGGTTGTGATCTCATTGGCGCACGAATGAGTCGCGAGGTTCGCTGAAACCTCGTACGTGCCTGACACCACACACGTTTGGATCTTTGTGTTTGTGCAAGTTCACGAATTTTTCTGTATCAAGTTCACAAATGAGGGTTCGCACTTCCCAAACGGGGAATTTGTTTCGACTTCGGCGAGGCGGTTAGCGAACATTGGCGAAAAGGGTAACCACCAAAAGTTCGACCCTGATTACGAACTCCATAAAAAATCTCACACGTCCTAATACTATGCACGCTTTCTCAAACTGTGCACAGTTTGACATGCACATGCTTTTCTGGGTGTGGGAAGGACCCAACCCAACATGGCAAGCGAGAAACATTTGTCGCAAATTGGTTTCGCGAGTGAAAGTGTCTCGCAACCCAACCGAACCTCTACAAGCCTGCATTCCGAACCTAGTTTTTAGCATTGACTTCCGTTGAGTAGTTCAAGTCTTGGGCTATAAGTGAAATTGCGTGATCACAATCACGCACATTGCGTGATCAACTCAAAATTCGGCCCTGTTCGGGAGTTAGAGAGGAAGAGCAGAACCATATCCAAAGGGTCAATTTTACTAGGCTCGGAAGCCCAAAATTGCCTGCGACCCCATGGGGAGCGCGTGCTCGAGAGAGGAGCACAGGGAAAGATGGGGAAGGGGACTGAAATAGGCATCAGGTGTACACTGTTTCCAGTTGTGTTCTGCAATCTGGAAATCAGTTGGATTCAGTTCATATCCGTTCAGATCCCTTCGCGCGAAGTCGACAAAAATTGTGGTATTTATTTCACTCTACAACTGTACAGATGTTCTAGTCCGACGGATCAACATCGCCGCGCTCGGACTGTGTGGCGAACCCTTCAAACCCTAAGCAAAACACGATACTTATAGTCCCGTTTAGGAAAATCGCATGAAGAGTGGTTGTTTTGCTGCTAGTTTGTGGAGTCTGGCATTTACGTAGATTTGGACCGCGCTTGCTTGAACTTCCAGTCGCACGGTTTTCCACGCCGATCAATGTCGCATGACTAACGGTCAAAACAAAACAAATCCAAATATGGTTTTGGGATCGAATAGTAACACAAAAACTTTGTTTCTACCCTGTAAGCGAGATAAATGAGATGTCATCATGGATCGCATTGGAGACAGCGCGACAGGATTGGGAAGTAGTCGCGGTCAAGAGAAACAATTACTTACCATTAAAATGTTAAAATATCGAATCGATGATCTCTTCATCGTTTTCTTTGAATGTTGGGCTGGTTTGAACTGGAGCCTCTGATTGGCTGCGGAGCTGATTCGTGCAATGATTCGGTCAAGCTGCAAATTTTCCCGCCAAAAAAGGGACTATAGGGGTCGGGCCAACCCTAGGCGATATTAAAAAATTCTACTCAGGGGGGAAAAGGGACTCTCTCAACGAGGGCCTCTAGCCTGGAACATCTGTACAAATGTTCTGGCTTTAGGTTCTTCCTATGATAGGCCATTTTTTCCCAACGACTAGATTTTTCATATATGTCCAAAATATAGCCCCCCCTCTACAGTCTGTCAGAACATTATAGCTTATGCTGTTGTGTAGGCTATAGTGGGGTATCCCATAGGGGGTACAACCCAATTAGGGTTTCATATATGTACTCACTTCATTCATAGTTGCTTCATTCTCGTTCAAATCTTCTTATGGTATCGAGCAGGTTCCCCTGTAGGAACTGCGCCTAGGGCCCACCACTTCGATTTTTTTTTACTGCCCGAAGCGCACTCATCCCGAGTCGCGCCTCGGGCTATTCACTTACCGAGCCGCCCTAGCGGCCTTCTCTCCCCTAGCGGCCCTGCCGCCCTACGCTTCGCGGCCCCGCCGCCCTTCTATCGCGGCCCCGCCGCCCTGCCTTCGCGGCCCCGCCGCCCCTTCCTTCGCGGCCCCGCCGCCCTTCCTTCGCGGCCCAGCCGCCCCTCCTTCGTGGCCCCGCTGCCCTGCTATCGCGGCCCCGCCGCCCTTCCTTAGCGGCCCCGCCGCCCTTCCATCGCGGCCCCGCCGCTCTGCTAACGCGACCCCGCCGCCCTCAGCTAAGCGGCCCCGCCGCCCTGCTTCGACGGCCCCGCCGCCCTGCACCTCGCGGCCCCGCCGCACTTCCTTCAGCGGCCCCGCCGCCCTGCACTTCGCGGCCCCGCCGCCCTGCTTCGACGGCCCCGCCGCCCTGCACCTCGCGGCCCCGCCGCCCTTCCTTCAGTGGCCCCGCCGCCCTGCACTTCGCGGCCCCGCCGCCCTTCCTTAGCGGCCCCGCCGCCCTTCCTTCGCGGCCCCGCCGCCCTGCTACAGCGGCCCCGCCGCCCTGCTACCGCGGCCCCGCCGCCCTCTGCTAAGCGGCCCCGCCGCCCTGCTTCGCGGCCCCGCCGCCCAGCTCACGCGGCTCCGCCGCCCTTCCTTAGCGGCCCCGCCGCTCTCCTCCCCTGCCGCGCCACCCGAGCCGCTGCCCACTGCACCACCCTGCAGCGTGCACCCGAGCAGCCGCCCGCCGCGCCACCGAGTACCGGAGGAGCCGAGCCGCCTAGCCGCTGTGCAGCCGAGCCGCCCAGCAGCCGGGCCGCTCAGCAGCCGAGCCGCCGAGCCGCAGTACTTCCGAGCTGCCCAGCAGCCCGCCGCCGAGCCGCCGAGCCGCCCTGCCGCCCAGCCGCCGAGCCGCCGAGCAGCCCAGCCGCCGAGCCGCCCCGCTACCGAGCCGCCCGACCCGCCCTGTCTGGTGAGCACAGCCCCACTGCTACTGCGTGCCCTTCCCCCCACTGCTTGCACTGCTAGTCTGTCGTCATGGCCACCCCTAGTGTCCTCGCTTTTGACGCTGAGGGTCGAGCCATTGACTTTGAGGTCTGGGTCGACGACCTGCAGCTGTTTCTACAGTGCGATAGGGCGGACGGTCTGTCTCTCTTTGACCTCACCTCTGGCGCCTCTCCTGCCCCTGCTGCTGATGCTGACCCCACTGTTCGCTCTCAGTGGGCCACCTGCGATGCTGCTGCACGTCTTGCTATGCGTCGCCACCTCCATACCACTAAGCGCGCGCACTTTAGTCAGTACAAGAGTGCTCAGACCTTGTACGATGCTGTAGTTGCGCGCTACTCTTCCCCTGCCACTGCTGCACTGAGCCGCCTCATGCTACCGTACCTCTTTCCTGACCTTGCTTCCTTTCCCACAGTCGCTGACCTCATTACGCACCTCCGCACTAGTGACACTCGCTACCGCGCCGCGCTTCCTGCTGAGTTCTGCGCCAAGACCCCCCCCCCCGATGTACATCACTCTCTATTACATAGTCACCCGCCTCCCTGACTCCCTTCGCGTAGTCAGGGACCACTTCCTCTCGGTCTGTCCCACCACTCTCACTGTTGACCTCCTCGAGAAGGCCCTCGTGGCAGCGGAGAAGAGCATCGTCGCTGTAGGAGCTTCTCGTGGTGACCCTCGCACCCCCATCTTTGAGGGGTGTTCTCCTTCCCCCCTGCTGCCCTCTGTTGCCTCTACCGCTGCCGCCGACCTGCTTGGCCTTGAGTCGGTCGGCGCGGCGTCTGCACCTAGCGGGAGACGCCGCCCTAGCAAGGGCAAGGGGGGCAAGGGCGCGGGTGGAGCTGGCGGGGGCGGTGGAGGTGGCGGTGGAGCGGGCGGAGGGAGTGGGGGTGGCGGTGGGAGTGGTGGCGGGGGTGGCGGTGGTGGTGGCAGCAGCGGAGGCGGAGGCGGGTGGCGGCGGCGGTGGTGGCGGAGGCGGAGGCGGCGGTGGTGGCGGAGGTGGAGGCGGTGGTGGCGGAGGGGGTGGAGCTGGTCGGGGTGGTGCCCCGCAGCGGAGCGGCTTTGGTGGTGGTCAGCGCCAGCAGCAGCAGCAGCAGCAGCGTTCTCGGGACATCCCCCCGCCTCAGCAGCTCCGTGAGTGGTACACGCAGCGTCAGCGTGGTGGGGGTTTTGGTCCGTGCACC